AATCAATTTTTTTCTCACCATAGTGTGAATTTTCTTACATTGACAAAAATGAAAATAAAAAAATAAAGCAATCAGAATATTGACAATTCAAAAACTAAATTTCAAAGAAAAAAGTCGATCTCAAAAAAGTTACTTTTTGATCTTGAAAGATCATTTCATGAGAATACGGCATTCCGACATGACTGTATTGATCATCGACAACCCACAATCGAATAACTCGAACATGCAAATTCCATGTATCTTTGACTGTAGTTATCAATTGAATGGTATTTATAGGACCCTCCATGATTCTAAATTTTGAGAAAAATGGATGAGATCAAAGAGAGAATTTGAAAAGTTTTAAGAAGAATGCAAAAAATAAAACAAAACCAAAATGACTATTATAGGCAAAACTTTCAAAATGTATGTAGGTGGAAAATTTAGAATCTCTTGCATGTACAGAGTTTAATTCTCCTATATTGGAATTCCAAAGATGCAATAACCAAGAGTCGTCTACAACTTGAGAGTTTAATTCTCAATGCATTGGAACTCCAAAGACACAATAATCAAAAGTACAAAACCTTTAATAATCGTTATTAGATAGTGACTAATAAAATAATGTTTAATATTTATAATTGTTATAATGGATTAGTGAGTTAATATATATATATATATATATATATATTGTGAAGAAAAGATAGACACTGGAAGGGGGTTCAATAGTATATATCAAAAACTCATTTTTTGTAGTAAAGTAGTAGTACTAATCAGATGGAGTGCTAAGAGAAGTCATACGGAACACTAAGTATTTTTATACTGATTCATTTCAATTATCAAGATTACGTCTAGTTTTCAATCTAACTAAATTGAGTTTCATTATCTTTAGACAAAGATACAAGTATTCTTTCAACAAGTCGTTTTTGGCTTAACCCTAAATATTCTTTGACTTGCTTCTTCAAGCAACTATCCAAGTATTCTTTTAACAACAAACCTCTTTAGACTTAACAATCAAGTATTATTTTATAGACGAATCTATTGAGACATAACCATACAACAGTAGTTATAAAGGTTACAAAGATGTTATTTTGTCTCACTCAGACATTATACAACCAATATAGTGCAAAGCTTTGTACAAGAAAGAATGAAAATTATACACATATAATTTATAAAATATGTCTCTTCTTCTTTCTAAACTTAAAATATTCTAATATAGTAGTTTTGAAGAAGAAGACTGTTGCAACACTTTGAGTTTAGCTCATAAGTTTGTTTCGTTTGTCTTCAATGTTTTTCCTTATGATAAGAGATAAGTGTTGATTCTTTAATGCAAACATTAAATGCATTTTACCAAATGTGACCTCTTATCTAATAAAAGAGGCTACTTATTATCTTTTCATACCAAATGAAGCTTATAGAAGTAATCTTAGTGTAGAGCAGCAACAACAATGTCTTTATTTGCTTTTCTCCGTGATTTTAAGGATCTTCATCCTTGGTTTTGACTGAAAGCATGACTTTGTTCTCTTTAACAGATTTTTGATTTTTAAGATAACTTTCTAGTTCGATATATTAAGGAATAAAACATTCAAATGAAATTTGTTATTAGTCTTAATAAATAATGGATATTTAATGTATACAGACAGATTGTATATTCCGTCTGATTGTCTTCAATCACACTTACACAAATAGCTAAAAATAACTTTTGTATCATAGTATAATTTTTTATCATAAATTCAAATAATAGTTTATATATTCAAAAATATTTATTTAGATAAATTTTAGTTATAATATTTATTTATTAATAAATACAATGATGTAAAAATATTTTCTTGTGCATTATTGCACTGCTAAAATATTAGTTTAGTTCATTTTAAATAACACTTAATTAGACTAAAAAAATTAAAAGTAAAATAAAATCGAGGATAACAAAAAATATCAAAAAAATAAAATGCATATTGTTCTAAAACCCGTCAAGTGGACTTAGACACACATGAATGAATAATGGACACAATTACTAAGCCCAATCTAATATTTTTCTCAATCGCATATTGGTGCAATATGTTACCAAGTCCAATTGTAGATATATAGATCCACTACTACAAGGAGTTGAGAATCTTTCAAACCTATACATACCAATATCAACGGAAATATCATGAGATTCCCCCTTACGACACCTTTCATATGCGTTAAGACCTTTTATGCCTCTACGCGCATGAATTATTACTATAACTTGAGTAAGACTAATTAAATATATCAAAAGACCTCAAGTTTGATCTCCACCTACAAACACCAACATAATACACCATTAAAATTTGGCTCTGGGTACCAATGAAAATTCTGCTTGAATACTTCATTCCATAGTAGTGCTAAAACGCGTAGTTGAGTCATAGAATAAGCCTAAAATTTAATTGTGGTTTTCTTCTAAAATCTGGCATACTCTTTGAAGAAGTCACATAAATTTTCCGTTTATGTTTAGATGATAGGCATATATATATATATATATATATAATTAATGGGGTAATAACTTTTTTTTACGGAAATTAATGGAACTTTAATAAAAAAATTTAAAAATAGATAATGTATTATATATTAGAATCTAGCAAAGGAGAAAAATTTAATTTTTAACATAAGAGAAAAACGAAAGGTAATATTCATCTAGAAGGAGGAGAGTGTAATTTATTTTTTTAAAAATATATTAAAAACGACAAATAAAAATTTAAGAATTAATCGACCGAGTAGTAATTACTAATCCGCAAGTAAAGTAATTGAATACCTTTGGCTCATCCTTTGAATATGTTTGGGTCAGAATAAGAATGCACGTAAGCATGTAGAGAACATGGCAGGAGTTTAGAGAGAACATTTTTTCAGTGGAGTTTAGGTGAATCATACCCTAGCTCTCTTACAAGTTTCCCCACAAGTTCTTCGCAATAAGAAGAATTTATAAGGGAAAAAGAATGTGATCTGGCTCTACACTGCGAATACGTATAAAACATACAATTGGGTGGTTTCAATTCGCAACTCGTATATTTCCCTTTCTCAATAATTCTAATTATATTCCACATTTTAAAAGTATAAAATTAAAGTCACAAGAAAGATCAATTAATCAGTTTCGTGTATATATGGCTAGCTGAAATTAATTAGTTGAAGAAGACCTCCAAATATGGTCAAGACCCAATTACACACGTCCAATTGGTACTGTTGACTGACTCTTTATATATAAAAGAATAAAGATCAAGTTATGAAACTCGAGAGTCTATACAAACTCGTGGAGCTCTCGTAGACTCGACTCATAGACTCATAAAAGTCTACCTAATATTAAAAGATATTAAAAAACATGAACACACAATATAATATCACTAATTCAACATTCTAAGGCTGAAATAAGTCAAATAACAACGGTAAAATGTCATAATACAAATTTTAACCATACATGAACAACCAAAAGTCAAAAACACATAAGTCCACTAACGAGTAACGAAGTCAGACGATGACTGGTGGGTGTTCGTCAGAAACTGTAGGGATGACGCTGGAAGCTACGACGACGGCGCTGGAAGCTGCAACGACGGCACCAGAAGCTGCAATGACGGCGCCGGAAGCTGGAACGACGGGAAGCTCCTTTCTTTTAACTAGCTTCCTTCCTTCTACCGACGAGCAGTCGCGGTCGAACACCCACAGCGAAGCACTTACCAAACGTGAAGGATTCGTTCCTCTCCCAGCAAGAGGATGCGCGTTCGTATGCGGCGGAGGGAGAGAAATCAAACTCGCGAGAATGGTGGAGGCAGCGTTTGTTCTATGCGCAGAGGGAAAAACACTATGGTCACTTACTAACCCTAGCTGAAATGACGTCGTTTTGGGGCATTTAGGGGAGGAAAAAAAAACCTAACTAGACTCGTGGACTCAGCGTCACACTCGCGATTCTGAACGAGTTAGCCCGAGTCTACTCGAGTCAGCCCGAGTCTACAAAAAATCGAGTATATTCGCGAGTTAACCCGTTTTACTACTCTAGACTCGTAGACTCGTACGAGTTTACGAGTTGACTCGCGAGTTTGACAACCATGATAAAGATGATAGTATTAAGTGACTGTTTATTTACCATTAATACTTAATAATATAACAAGATTCAAGATTCATTGGCACCAGTTATAAATTTAAAAATGGCTTAAATATGTTTTTAGTCCCTCAAATTTAGGATAATTCTGTTTTTGGTCCTTAAAATTTAAAATTGTTGTTTTTAATCCCTATAATTTCAAAAACTCTTATTTTAGTCCTTATATTCATATTTTGTTAATAAATTTATCAAATATTATTGCATAAATTCTACCTATTAGTGTCCCTATTAGTGAAAATATCACATTAAATCCAGTTAATATTGCATAACTATCAAATTTTACATAATTAAAAAAATTATTTAATAATTTATCACATTATTTTATTTTAATATATAATATAATATTTAAAATCTATAATACCTATTTTTTTAATAATATATCTAAAAAAATTTAAATCATTTAAAATTTAATATACATAATCTTGAGTATAAATATCACAATTAATAATTGAATCAGTCAAAGTTATATTATACAAAAAAAATTATTGAAAATACAATATTTGATATAAATTTTTAAATTTACACCTAGTGTTAACAAATCTTGATTCATATAACAATTAAAAAATAATGTAAAACAGATTTGGAAATAAAAATGCATAAATATTTAAAATTTAATGTTCAAAATATATTGGTATGACTTTGAAGTTACAAAAGCTTAGAAAAATAACACTACTCAACACTTGTTTAAAATGTATAATTTTTACAAAAAAAAAATACAAAATAATCATTTACAAAAAAAAAAAAACTCCAAATATTTCTTCAAAAAGAAAAAAAATCCTAATATATATAATAGCGCCCGACAAACGTCCACAATTGCATGCATGTTACGTGTACATAACACAATCTCGATCAAGTTGGAGAAGAAAGGAGGAAGTATTTATTATGCTGCTGAAAGTTATCGAGCAATTTGAAAGCTTAGTTCAGATATGAAAATCCGCAACTCAATATTCCTCATCTTTTGAGGAGTTACATACATAATCCACTTCCTACAGTTACTATGACTCGGCTTTACGAGCAAAAAACTCCCATCTTTCATTCTTCTCAGGAAAAAGGCTTATAGAGAGGTCAGAGGCATAAATTGCACCAAAGACTAGCTTTCGATTTGTTAGCAAACAGAAAATTAGCTAGTTGATCATTTTCAACAATATATTCAATTATAGGACTGGTGATGAGGCCATATAAAGAACCCAGGAAGTGGTGGTGGTGGTGGTAGGGTAGTGAGTGTTGTTGCATTTGCATTGGTCACAGTTGCAGAAGACTCAGCGGTGCTACTTGCACCATTGGTGGGGTGAAACTGGTGGAAGAGGTTGTGAGGGTAGCATGTGTGTGCAGGGTCAAAGGGTATAGAAGCAAGTGGCTGAATGTTTGAGAAATTGATGCTGCTACTCACGTTTGTGACCTCAGGTTGTTGAGTGCTGCTATTTATAGGAGCTTTGGTCTCAGATTCTGGGGAAAGCTTCAAGCGTTTTGCTACCCCACCAACTGGAAGAGAGCTATTCAGTATAGCTTCCACGTCATATCTGCTCATCTCAAAGTTGGTCACCGCGCTTGAACCTCTGAACTTGATGGCTGCAATGTCATATGCCTCTGCTGCCTCCTCTTCAGTTGCTGTAACAATGCAAGAACCGAAAAATGTTCAACTTCAAAAAAGAGACAAACAAAGAACATGATGCATGGGATAAGAGTTGTTTCAACTTTCAAGTCATACCAACAAATTAATGTTCTAGATTGTTAAAATTAAGTCTATTTCTGACAATAACTTTTGAGAGTTTCTCTAAAAAAATAAAAAATAAATAAAAATTATAGTGTAGAAACTCTAAAAAATCACTTTAACTTAAATCCAAACAAGCTAATTACACTGATCTACTGTTAAAACTTTGCTTGAGGACTTATTAATTGGACAACAACCGTAGCATTTAACCACAATTCATTAAACAAATTCAATCTTACTGTATAATAGTGAGATTGCAATAGTAAATGCTGAAAACATACCAAATGTTCCCAAGTACAGATCCTTGTTTCCTGCAACTCGGCCAATTCTTGCTTGCCATCTACCCTGTTGGTGATGCCTGGAGAATCCAAAGTGTATGTTAAATTACACATACACAAGAGAAACGATCGAGGAACATAAACTAAAATTACACAGTAGCAAATCAATATAGAATGTAAATTACAAACCTGGTAACACCCCTGTAAGCAGAAGCTCCCCTTGAAAAACCACTACTTTTCCTGCAAGCATAAGGACAAGTTCAATTTTAGTTCCTGCATTGTAATATGGTGCTAAATACGTATAATTGGCCAGCATAGGCAAACCTCCGAAGTGATGCAATAAATTCTTGCTTCCCTGCATGTTTCATCTCCTCCAGTTCCTTTGTATAATTGGCAATCTGAGACATTAGAAGATAAAAAGTTTTGCTAAGCAATAAGCTCCAACGAAATCTTCAATTCCTTTTTCTACAACTCTAGTTCTCGAATATAAATCAATAAAAATCTATCTATATTTGAAACATGTATACCACAAACACTTAAAAGATCATTTGAACTTAATCCTCTTGCATTGTATCCTCGTAAATGAAGTGCTTGATCACTCCAATTAAAGTCCGTACTAATTACTAAATCCTTGCAATGAGGTCCATGCTAGATTCTAGTCTTTGTTGGCCTTCTCAACTTTGTTCAAACCTTTCATTGACTTGGCAGTTGGCACCTCCTGGGTACCAAGTAAAGCATGTTTCTATGACACCAGGGGTAACACCAAGCTTCGTTTTAACTAGTATCAATTAAAGCATAATACACGTACTTTAAGTAAGAAAAAAAATACTCCCCATTCTAATGCTTTCAACTCAGCTGTATACGTAGGATTTCATGCACAACAACAAATAGAGATTTGAACAGGATATTAAAAGTCAGTATATATTACAGGAAAGTTGGTGGTAGCTGTTGGTCCCCAGTACTTTATAGCTGCTAAGTCATAAGCTCTCGCAGCTTTTTCTTCCTTGTCATATCCACCTGAATCACCACAATATATCATCTCTAAACAGCATCAAATCTAAAATATGTTGGGAAACAACCAAAAATAAAATGAAGTAGCAAAATTTCTTACCCAAGTACACTGTAGTGGGAACAGTCAAAAGAAGGGTGACAGCCATGAAGTGCACAATGCCACATCCCATGCAAAGGAAAAGCCAAGAAAAATCAGATTTCACCTTATGAAGTGGTCAAAATATTCTGGTAAAAACTACTTTTTCTAAGCTAAAATTGTAAACGACCAAAGGAAAAGTGATCGAATGCATGCAATGGCGCCTGCACAGAAGCTACTTTAATTTTTTTACCCTCTTTTTGATCTCTTCTTTTCATTCCCATTCTAGCCAAAAGATATTACACGAGATACCCATCTTTTCTAATAGTAGACAGACACTGAAGGACCCATCAAGGTTTAATTGTACCAAAAGGTTATAACTTATAATATCCGATTGATGGTGAATTTTCAAATTTTTTACTTCACAGAGGCTTAAAAATCCGACTAGAGCCAGCTAAAGAAATGTCACATTGCCTATTCTCTTAAGTAGATTACAGACAAAACAAAATGCCTAGTTTTTCGCGTTTGTTGCAAAAGTGATTAATATTATTATCATGATAAGAATTTTATGTGATTTGTGACTGCAAAAACATCCAAGGATCTGATAAATCCCGTGAGTTTGTTTCAGAACCAAGAGGACATTATTATTTGCGGGGCCAGACCCACTGTCAAAACCCTTTTAGCCAACAGTGGACGCCCCCACATTCATGTTAATGCAAATTTCAACATGATGTTATGGTCAAACCCAGCTTTCCTGGCGAATGAAAAGCAAAAGCAAAAGTTAAAGCCAAACTCAGAATGCATACACTACGATGGAAAGAATTAAGAGAGAGGGAGGGAGAATAGATAGTCTTATATTTGGAATAATTCTTACACACGTAACCACATTTTTCAACTAAAAAAAAACGACTCTGTGCGTGACAAAATACATGTCTAACCATGTAATAATATAATTTCTCATTATGGTCGTGTCACAAGTATGTTATTCTCGCAATTTAATGTACTTAAATTAGTTAAGCATATGTAATTTTAATAGCTCAAAATGAATTTTATCATATTAAAAAAAAGTAACATATGAATGCAGAGCCACGGTCTCAAACAGGTACGGAACAGGAGAGACATCAAACATAAAAAATGGCGGCACATTGGATCAAATCAACTGAAAGAAATTGCAGACCCCACTCACAGTGACATAACGGCGGCACATCGGATCAAAATAAATCTCATGCTTTCTTTCGAACAACAAAATTTGTAAAGAATAAAAAATAAATAAATAATAACACTACGAAATGAAGCCAACTTTCAATTTCTTCATCCCCTTTAGAAAAATATTATTTTTACTTTATTATATACTTCTCTATCCCTTATTTTTGGAAGAAAATCCTATTTTCTTTTCTAAAAAATCCAGCCAATGTGTGAAAAATAAAATAAAATTGAAGTACAAGTACGAAAACCAGCACAGTAGCACCATTATTAGTACATGTACGCATACCATATCCCCCGCCAACTTGAAGAAACCGTGAATCAATCTTAATAAATAAGCATTAATTTAAGTTCAGTTTCTAACGCATGCAACCCTCTTTTCAGCATCACAGTGTCCTTATTTATTTCCCTTTTATTACTCTAATCATTTTCATATTTTCATAATCGAAATTGAAAATAATAATACTCATAAAAAAATAAAAATAAAAAGTTGAAAATAATTTAGAGGAAAAAAAAAAAAAACCTTGACGCCCTTTCCTGGCCTGACCCTCGCGTCTACAGCTGTTATCCCACAGATGCGCTTCGTATCTACCCGTCCATCGGTGTCTGAAAAAAAAAAAACAAAACAAAACAAAAATTAATATTTCATTTAATGAACCGAACCCCAAGTATAGTTCATAAATTAAAAACACAAAACAAATAATAATAATTAAAATAAAAAAAAAAAAAAGATATTTTAAGAAAAGAAAAAATGATGGGGTTGAGTTGATGAATGATGATGGTGGTGGTTCAATTCTACTACCTTGTGACCCCTCTGTATATAGAAGTTCGCTGGCCACCCAAGTTATTCGGAAGCACCTTCTTGTGGGTATCATTTTCCACGGCCACGATGGCCTTAACCTCAGAATCAGAACCGTGCGCCGCGACACACAGAGACAAACCTCCTTTGTATGACAACTCGGTGGGTGCAACCCGGGTCCTGTCGTAGGCTGAGTCATCCAACTCGGGGAACGCTTGAAGGCCAGGAATCGCGTTCAGATCTTGCAGGTCACTGAAGTAAGCCGAGGCAGAACCGTGGTCGTAAACATGAGTCAGCGAGGAATTCTCCTGAGTCTCCGTTTGGCTCTCGAAAAAATCTTCCACTTTCGGCACCACAAGTGCTTGGTTTCCACTCTGCGACTCCATCACGCCCTTGGAACTTGTGCACCCTGCAAGTTAAAAAAAAAAAAAATGATAATAAGAACAAAGCAAACGCTGTCTCTATGAGTAGGAAGCGCAAGCTTAGTACTTGGTTGGAGGGGTTTTTTGGATTTGGATTTGGAAGTGAGAAAGAAAATTGGAGGTTGTGAAGTGTATAAATAGGAGAGGCTTTTCACGTGGGTTGTGATGAACAACACTTGGAAAGAGGTTTCCGGGTATTAAGAAAAAGTTTAGGGAGTGGTTTTGAGAAGTGGCGTTACCATAAAAGTTATCGACGAAGCATTGAGAGGAAGTGTCGAATGGAACAAAGTGCGAGTCGATGGGAGTCAACGAAAACGTAAGCCAATTTGTGGCACCAGCCATTGTTTCTGTCTGTCGCGACGCTTCCACCAGATCAGCAAAACAATAAACGTCAGTTTCCAAACGGGTTTTCCGCGGAAACAAACAAACAAACAAACACAACCCCAAACTGAAACCACCCCTCTCCAGTCTCTGCTTCAGGCGTTACTCTCAGAGAGATAGCTCCTCCAACCCCACCATGCACCTTTTATTGTTTTTATTATTATTATTATTATTGATCAAATTGTTAAGAAATAAAATAAAATAATAATGTGTTTTGGGTTTGCATGCAAGATCAGTTCTTGAGGATTGGCAATCAAAAAGGGTTCGAATGAGAAAAATAAAATAAAATTGAGTTGAGTTGGAAGAGCAAGGTGTTGAGTTACAAGAGGTGAGTTTAGCGGTTTCAGCTTCCAACCAGCGTAAAATAACAGAGATTGGGTTTTATTTTTTTACATAGAAAATTGTGGACAGGGACAAACATAAAATATTGAGTTAAACTGGGAGAGTTTATTTTGAAACAAGTACGTGGATAAGTCACTTTTTAATTTTTCTTTTTTTTTATTATTTATTTTTTGATATTTACTCTGGACAGAAGAAGAATTCTCTACATAGAGAGAAAGTTGCGAAAGATGCGGGCTGGAGGAAAATTGAAGAATTTGGCTGGGTTCATTGTATTTACCAAATTAGCCTTACTCTATTTTTTTTTTCTGAAAAGAATTATTAATTAGAGAAAATCGTTTCATATTAGTCACACACATGTCTTGCATGCAGGTGCGACTCTTTTCTTACACTGTTTCAGTAATTAATAATATCTGGATCGGTTCAATGGGCGTTTCGCACCATATTCTATCCTAATGTTCAAAGAGGATACTCTCTCCATAATCGCTTGCTTTTCGTTTCTATAATTTTTTTACAATTACACTTTTAATTATTAAAAAGTAGAAAATCAATTCTTTTTGATAATCATCATTGATTAACTCTTTAAATAATTGCTCAATTTATATCATAAATAAATATTTGATATGTTTTATATTTTTAATTATTTTGTTTTTAAAATAAATCAAGAGATATAAAGTATCTTCCTTTTTTTCCAGTAATGTTAGCAGAGTTAAAGTATTGACTTCCTACATGAAGTTATTTTTATTTATTTTAGTTCTTATATATTACCAAAAAAAAATAATAGTTCAATTTAATGTGTAAATGTTGTTAGTTATTATTCTTTTTAGCAAATATATTACATAATTATCTCAATTTATCTTATTTATTGTAATTATGCTATCAATATTCTAAAATATTATAATAATTATTTTTAAAATTATAGGAACTAAATGATCAAATTTAAATTTGACAATCAAAAATAAATTTATTCTACGTTTGAGAATTCAAAAATATATTTTATATCAAAAAATTATATATAAAAATAAATAAATTTTGATTTTAGTTATTAAAATTGAAAATTAATGAACATACGGATCAATTAAAATGAGGTTACTCCAGGTTAGTAAGTAATTTTGAATTTTGAGTATACAGTTATATTTTTTAACTACAATAATATTATGTAATTTTGCAAAATATTTGAAAGAAAAATTTTATCATCTCTAATAATTTTATTGAACTCAAGCATAATTATCAACAATAAAAAATACATATAGCATGTACCAAAAAGTTATTAAAATTTTGAAACTATAAACGCTGCAAAAACTGTGACAGTGATAAATAGTTTTTGAAACTGTATAAGAATTAAAGTTTATAGTTTTTTTGGTATCGAGATTAAAATTTAAAATCAGGATAATTATAGAAATTAAGCGAATAGTTGAACATAATTATAAATTATTTTTTATCACTATTTTTTATTAAAGTTTAATTTTTTATATTATTAATATAAAAAAATTTATTGTTACAGATATTGTGAATATATTACAGATATCGTGGATACATATAATATGATTATTATCCTCACTATCAATTAAGAATATGATTAGATTAGTTTCCATAATATTAGAGAATAGTATCTCTATCATTTATTGTATTAGATTGGTATGTGTACAACAAGACACACAATTCCTGAATCACAACATGGTATCAGAGCTCCTGATCTTGGAAGCTCTGTTTCCGCTGCAAAAGTAGCCACCACCGCCGCTATCCGGCCACTGTGGTTCCTGCCGTCACCGCAGGGGTCGTTGATAGGGTAGAAAGGTGCGCCCTCCTCCGGCAAACACAATGCCGAAAATCGCTCTGAGAAAGACGCTGCCACGCGCCACCACCGTTGTTGGCACGTGTAGCCCACGCGCCTAGCTCCGGCGAAACCCACTCGCTGCCGCTTTCGGTCGCTGCCTCTGATCACCGCTTCCGGTCGCCAACTCTGACCACTGCTTTCGGTCACCGACTCTGACCGCTGCTTTCAATAGCTGCCTCTGGTCGTCACCTCTGACCATCGCTTCCGGTTGCCCACTCCGACCGTCATTTTTGATAGCCGCCTCCGATCGCGGCCTCCGACCGTCGCTTCCGGTCATCGACTCCGACCGTCGCTTCAGGAGGCCGCCAACTCTGATCGCCGCCTCCGTCCACCGCTTCTGGTCGCCGACTCCAACCGCCTCTTTCGATAGCCGCCTCCGATCGCCGCCTCCGACCGCCTCCAGTGACCAGTTAGCAGATGTGTTCACAAAATCGCTTAAAGGGCCTCGGGTTGATTACATTTGTAACAAGATTGGTGCGTATGATATATATGCTCCAGCTTGAGGGGGAGTGTTACAGATATTGTGAATATATTACAGATATTGTGGATACATATATTATGGTTATTATCCTCACTATCAATTTGAGATATGATTAGATTAATTTCCATAATATTAGATATTAGTATCTCTATCATTTATTGTATTCACTCTATAAATAAGATTGGTATGTGTACAACAAAACACACAATTCCTGAATCACAACATTTATATTTTTAATTTATGAAAAATACAATATTGTTATAAAAGCTAATAAGATTATCATATATATATATATATATATATATATATATATATATATATATGT